GTGGGGCACACACCCTCCCTGCGGGGGGCGGTCGGGGCCTAGGCCAGGAGGGGCGGGGAGGGGAAGACACGCCGGGGGTTCCCAGCTTGACCGCTGTGAAAGTATTTCTGGGCATTTTCCAGCTGCTCTGCTCCAGAGCGCTCTCGCACGCAAACACACACATACACACACCCCTTCTCTCTGTCTCTCTCCCTTTCTCTCTCTGTCTCGCTCTGTCTCTGTCTCGCTCTCTCCCTCTCTCCCTCTCTCCCTCTCTTGCTCTCTGTTTCTCTGTCTCTCTGTCCGAACACAGAGGTAAAAAGCACAAAAAAAACACACGAGCCGCAATCAGGTGGCCCAGCGCCCTTCACCCTCTCTCTCCCTCCCTCTCTCTCCCTCTCTCTCCCTCTCTCTCCCTCTCTCTCGTTGGGGTACTGGGAAGCTCGGCTACTGGCGCAACAACGCCACTCAGTTGCAGTTTTGAACACTTCTCCTCTCTGGAGTATCGCAGCCAGGGGGAAAGGGGCAGACGAACTCGGAGGCCACGGGAGCCTACTTGGGCAGGACACCGTCCCGGGCGAGCCTTCGGGCGACAGCGGAAATAAACGGCGAGTGGGGAGTGCGCTGACCAAGCCAGCGGCCCCAGAGCCCTGTGGGCAGGCACAGCGGCAGCACAGGCACCTTGCGGTCCTGGCGCTCTCAGCCGCGTTTCCCTAGCCAGAGCATCTGCATCATTTCACGCACATACATATCTGCAGACCCCGGGGTACAGAGGTGAATTCCCAGGAGTTTAAACTCAGTTAACATATAAACGCTGCTTCCAACTCGGCTCCTGGTACCTGGGACAGGACCAAACCGAACTACGGTCCTCTCGTATCTAGCCCAGCTGCTTCCCGATTTTGCAGCCCAACTAGGCCTAGAGAAAGAGCCATTCAGGGCAGAGCAAATGCTGGACTCCTGTTACCTGGGTAGACCCTGGTCGGCGCATTCTCCACTAAACTGTTCTGCTGGATGTGGGCAGCCTTGGGAGCAGAGACTCGGATCAGTCATGTGTCAACCAAGAAAGTGGAAAGGACTCCCAAAGCACTTCCACTTTAAATAAATGAAAGAGCTAGGCAGAAAACATCAGTCCCTACGTGAGGCTTTGCATTTTACTTTAAACTTAAGAAAAAATAGACCCGAAAAGTGGTATCATTCGGTCCCACCATTCCAGTAAAGCAAGGTGGAGAGTTGGAAACTGAAAACATGTGTTTTCCATAGCAGAGGTGTTTAATCTGTATGATGTGTTTGAATTCTCTTTGGAGTACACTCTACAGGTAGAAGATAAGAGTGATTGAAAAATGAACTTAAGAGGAGAGTGTTGAGTCCAAGATACATGGGCTGGTAGGGAGGGGGAGGAGTTGCAAGTTGGAAGTTTTGGCTCTAGGACAGCCAGCCTAGGGCATTTTTGCCCAAAAATGACAAATGAGAAAAGCTTGTATTTTTCCAACAGGAAACCTTTTGCTTGAACCTCCCCCCCCCC